GCTCGAGCTTGAGCTGGCTTGAATAATTATTAATATTTTTTAAAATAATTTTATTTTATAATTTAAATTTAAATATTTAAAAAATAATAATAATAATAACGACCTTAAGTTTTATTTAAATGTTAAACATTGCATCTTTTTTTCTAAATCCCACCTAAGTTTTAAAAATCTCACCTAAATTTTAAAAATCCCGCCTAAGTTTAAAAAATCCCGCCAATGGCTCACGAGCTAGCCCGAGCTTATTTATGTGGGACGAGCTCGAGTTCGAGCTCTCTTATCGAGCTCGACTCGAGCTCGAATTGAGCACGCTTTCAAACTGATGAGCCGAGCTCGATAAGGCCTAAACTCGGCTCAACTCGACTCAACTCGTTTACACCCCTACTGGCAACAGAGCTATACTTTGTGGGCATGCGAAAGGATGTAGAGGAGTTGGTGAGCCATTGTAATGTGTGTGAGACAAATACCTGGCTATAGCTCCAAGTGGTTTTCTACAGCCTTTGGCATTACTCGATAAGGTGTGAGAAGATGTTACTATGAACTTTATTGATAGACTACCTAGATCATAAGACTTCACTATGATTCTAGTGGTGATGGACAGATCTAGCAAATATGTTTATTTCATTCCTTTATGCCACCTATACACTGCGGTGTCAATGGCAGCCGCATTCATTAGAGAGGTGGTCCATTTGCATGACATACTCGAGGCCATTGTGTCCGATCGGAATAAGATCTTTCTGAGCCACTTCTAAAGGGAATTTTTCAAGATGCAGTGGACTATCCTGAAGCGGAGTACTGCTTACCACCTCCAGATGAATGGTCAGACGAAAGTGGTGAATCGCATTGTGGATACTTATCTTTGTTGCTTTGTATCAGATACACCAAAGATATGGGCCAAGTGGTTAACCTGGACGAATATTGGTATAACACTTTATATCATACAACAGCTCAAACAATGCCATTTAAAATCCTATATGGGAAGGATCCACCTCATATGATATATTATAGGCATGACAACACAAGTTTCATCAGTGGAGCAATACTTAGGAGAAAGAGATCAAATTTTGGCAGAATTGAAGGAACATCTACGAAGAGCATAGAAAATCATGATGAAGCAAATGGATGGACATATAAGAGATGTGCAGTTTGAGATTGGGAACATAGTTTATCTGAAGATCCAACCTTAAAGACATAGGACTTTGACTCGAGAAAGGAATGAGAAGCTCTCCCCCCATGATTTTGGGCCCTACGAGATTGTGGAGCGCATTAGCGCAGTAGCAGATCGCTTACGGTTGCCACTAACCTTAGCTATCCATCCTGTATCTCATGTATTGCAACTGAGATGACTATTGAAAACCACACACCCTTGCCTGCACTACCGGCCACAATGTCAGAGGATATGGAGGTGATATTATAGCAACTAAAAGTAAAAATGGTGTGCTAAGAAGACAAGGGGATCAGGAAGATGTTGATCAAGTAGAAGGATTTATCAGAGTTGGAGGCAACATGGGTGCCCTACAATACCATCCAGAAGCAATTTCCCTTTTCCCATCTTGAAGACAATGTGATTTTTTGGAAGGAAAATATTGATATGGTTGTTGGCAACCCAATTGCACAAGTTGGGCCCAGGACCTCCTTTATCACCTAATTAAAGAAGAGGCTTTGGGGAAAAACTCTTTGAGAAAAATGTAAGGGACATTTATTAGGGGATTTGGGCTATTTAAAGGGGGAGATTGTTGAGGGTTAGGGTTTATGATGAGTTTTGTTTTCTATAACAATTTTTGTTGGGTGTTTGGGTTCCTAGTGGCTGTTAGGGATTGTGGGAGAGACGATTCACCTCTCGAATCATGAATCAACTTGTATCTTGTCTTTCTTTGCTTGAAGATTAGCAAATACCACCCTCTTAATGTTATTTCTAGATCTATTTGGAGTAAGTTGTTTCTTCTTTATTATTGTGTGCAGTTTTGATCATCAAGTCCTATCACATTAACTCTCTAGAATAATATTGTAAAGAATGTGCTATTAATAAGCAATCAATGAAGAGTCCTAATACAAAAAGTATCATATCATTTAACAAAGCTATTAGAGCTCATCTACATCAATATCTATAGACCCATAACTCCATCATAAGGAAATCAATATTTTTAATTTTTATTGATGATTATAGCGAGAAAGCTTATATTTATCTCTTAAGGGATAAATCATAAGCATTTTACAAACTCAAAAAATTCAAGTAATAGTGGAGAATCTAATGGCCTCCAAATCAAAGCACGACTATCAGATCATGGTGGATAATTAATATACAAAATCTTTAAAGATCTAGGCAAGAAGCATTGCATTCAATAATATTTGATGACACTATATTCACCACAACAAAATAGCATAGTGGAAAGAAAAATAAAATCATGTTCAAAATGATTCGTTGTCCATTAAAGACCAAGTATTTGTCCAAAAAAGTTGAAGTTGTGGACTATCCTATCTAACTAAATGGATGTCCAACAAAGAGCTTGAAGAACACAACTCAATAAGAAGCATGTAGAGGCCAAATTTTCTCACTTAAAGGCTTTTGGTTCTTTTACGTATGCACATATTATAGATCAACATAAATAAAGCTTGATGACAAGAGTGTTAAGTTTGTCTTCATTGAATATGATGCAAAGTCAAAGACTTGCAAGATCTTCATCAAATAACAAGAAAATTGCACATGGATTATGATAGGGAGTTCAATGAAGATGGATTGGAACTGATTAACAAAGAGATCTACTGATTTGAAGAAGAAAAACAAGCAAAGCAAATAGCAAGATCCCACACCACTGCCATCTCTTACAACTTTGGAAGATAGTCCATGGCAACAAAGAGTTGGAAGCTTGCAAGAGATATATGACGTAACCAATGAGCTTAATCTCTTGTCTTCTTGCTAATCAAAATCAATTTTGATGAAGCACAACTTTCCCGCTTCAAAAATGAAAATGATCAATTATGTGGATACAATGAAAATTTGGATTTCAATTCCATACTTGAATGGATGGCAATCTTCATCATGACAAGAGCATTCATTTGTCAATGTTTGGACATTACAAGATCATTCAAAGCATCAAGATCAATCAAAACCACCATCAACCAAGAATTTAAGGGTGTGATGATCAATAATCATTCATTAAGGCATATTTCACTTCCAAATTCATGTTTTGACATCCCTCCCTCATCCATCCAAATGTCAATTTCACATTTCAACGCCTCTTCCAAAAATCAAGGTTTATGGATAGCATCTCCATCAAATTTGGAGTGGTTGTAACTCCTTATCAAGTGGTTAATGGATCCTCGCATTTAAATTTTGCAATTTTTTATTTTTAGGAGTTATCATGTGAATCACTATCAACACTGACTGGTTTAAACATTCTTGTGTATATATATTGAACTTATTGATGGAATAATGAATTTGCTTGGTTTTGACTTTGGAAATTAGAGTTTCCTCTTGCATGGGATAGCTTGGTGGCTACCATGGTGTAATTTCTTATGTGAGGAACTATATTTATCTCATTTTACTATTTATTCTCTAACCAGACTCATCTTCTTACTCTTTTCCACAACATAAATAAAAAACCTACAAACTGGGTCCTAGCCTAATAGTTCATACCCTAGCTCCTAACCATTAGGCTATAGTTTTGATCCCTACTCATATTTGTTACTCATTTCTTTGAAAAAAATTAAATTTCATTTCGATTGGCTTTTGTATCAATGGTTTGTCCTTTCAATGACTTCTTAAGATCTTCTAATTGACGTTGCACCTATTTGTAAAACATATGGGATAGATTTCTACGCCTAAAAAAATAAATCAAACCCCGAAACCTCTAAAAGCACTCGACATCATCATCTAATTTCAAAACCCCAAGAGCTCTCGATTTTTCTTTCTCCCAAACCCTGAATACACTACTAATCTCTCTACGGTTATTCACAACAATTTTACATTGAACTAAATTTAAATCCCTCTATCACCATTCTTGGCGAAGACCTCTATAGTAGCAAAACCTAGCTTTATCCCACCGCAAACTCAACATAAGAAAATCCTACCTTTGCTAAGTCTTGATCCCTCCTTAATTCATCATAAGTTAGCCCTAATAACCCCCCATAGCCCATCCAATATGTGAAGAAATGCAATCAAGTTGCAAATATTTTCACCTATCATTTATGGCAAATCCATATCATTAACACAAGGGTCTTCTAACACTGAAGGATGGAAGGCAATGAAGTTTAATAGTGTTAAAAATTCAAACTAATATGTAACTTCATAATTCTAAGGGTTGTATAGAATTTTAGGAATTAAAATTTTAAACATCAAGTTGCATTTGTGAATGCATTAAAAGCAATTAATGCATATATGATGTATAGAGTGAGTTATGATCATATTAAGAATTATTCCCTATTTTCGAATGCAACTCTTGAGCAATTGTGTTATTCTTCATTTAAAGTTGCATTGTATCTAGAAATCTCCATTGAACCTATATATAACCATAGGGTTTGATTGGAATGACAGGCCAAATTATCTCCTCCAAATATTTTTTTTATTTCCTTTTCCAAGTTTTATTATTCTATTTCTTCTAATTTATATCAAAAGCTAAAATAAAGAACATATAAAAGAGCATCAACAACAAATGTCTATTTAAGGTATATCCTCTTTAGTGATTTCTAGAGAAAATGAAACATATGTAGTCATCAACATCACTCATTTCTAATATTTCCTCTACCAATTCAAGAGGTACCTAAAGACCAAAACCTTTGTCTTATTCATTGATTAACAAAGCTATATGAGTATGATGCAAATTTAGGCAGATGACTATCACAAGAATAGTAGGTCTAATCCAAGCCAATCATATCAGGACAGAAACCCTACCCCCAATCACAAAGAATAACTCCAGCCTAGAACTAATGCAAAATGGAACTTGAGGCAAGCTATTAAAAATAAAAATAAAAAAGAATATAAAGAAGGAAGTTTAGCAAGAGACCTGCCAAATGTGTATCGGACCAAGAAAACCAGTCCACTCTCCATCTTCTTGAGTATAAATGGACTTCAGCCAAAGAAGGAGATTTTTGCCTTCGTGCTTCTTTCGTGCTTGAAGGTCAGCCAAGCTGAACCCCCAATTAGATACTTGTAAGACAGCTTCCTCAACAAAGGGTTTTGGATCATTCTGTCGGATGGACTCTGCCACATCCCTTTCCCAAAATTCTTGAAAAATGTGTCCATCTGTTAAAACCTTATCCTGCAGGCATAACGGGAATAATGAAAAGGTCAAAAATAAAAATAATAATTTAAATACAGCAAGATTGAACCTTTTTTTAGAGGTTCATTAAAGTAAATGCATAAGGTTTACTATCTTAGCACGCTAAATTTTTGTTTGAATGAGGATGTGTTTCACACCCATATAAATCAATTCCACAAATTTCAGGCAATAGAACGAGCCACCATTCTTAGAGTTCTTATGCCAGTATAGAATTGAACCATCCAACACCATGGCGGCAATGCAAATGAAGCACATTTAGAGATAAAAATATGGTAGCAATGCAAATGAAGCACAGTAAAGAAAATTATCGGACTACCTCTATGTCCTCGGTTATATGAATCAAAAGGTTATCCCCAAACACATATTAATAAGAAAATCAAAATAACCTCAGAAAAAAAATAAAAAACCTCAATATAGGACAACAAAAAAGATGAGGAAACAAATAAGGGCATGGTAAGCCAAGCTTACAATGTTTTGGTATTTGAATTATTTTGTACTGTTTTTTTCAATCGTAAGCAAGCAGCAACTGAAGTTGGGAATACCTTCTTTCCCAAAGACAATGATAACCACCTTTCCAACTGACCCTGCATTCCTGATAGAAAGCTTTGCCGATAGAAGTAAGGAAGAAGGGAAGGGAACCTTTTAGCTACAATGAACATGAACTTTCTTTTTGCTGTCCACTTCTCCCAGATTTTATTTTTCTCTTCCTTTGTCATTCTGGAATCATATGGATTGGTTATTGGGGCAAACATAGCCACACCTGAAAGATCATGTCAAAAAAAGAAATAGAACATGTAAAAAACAAAGTCAATGTACAAGTCATAAACCAAATTATCAGATTTCTTCCAATGCTGGGCTTTTAACTTTCATGTCGATAACAATAACAACCAGATTCTTATGTAAAACACAATTAGCAAAAAAAGGATTTTCCCTTCATCAGTAAAGACATCAATAAGCATAAACGCTTTCAATGCCCACAAATATACACTTGGAAATAAAAGTATTTCCTCAAAAATGATTAACCAGAAAGGCAAGAGCTCTTGACACTCATTCTCATCATTTATGTGATACTACAACAACAAGTTAACAACAAGCTTTTATTCTACTATATAGGGTCGGGTATATGAATCTTTTTTCTCCATTGTATCTTATTAAGAATCAAATTCTCATTTAGATCTAATAAAGAAAGACAAAGTCTTTTCAAGTCTACCTCTATCTTTCTCAACATAGGTTAAATCTAATACATCTACTCTCCTAACTATGTCATCGGAAGGCCGCCATTTTATGTGACAAAACCAGCTAAGGTGACTCTCTCTAATCTCTCAAACTGCTCTCTCCCCTTCCTCCTCTCCTATAGAGTCCAATGCCGGGCATTTACTTCAAGATTTATATAAGTTTTAATATATATAGCGTGAGGCATAAGCCTCATGTCAGTGAGGCGAGGCGGGCCTCAACCAAGTTGAGGCGCAATCCTGATAAAAAAAAAACTCGAGGCGTAAGCATCGAGGCGTTTTTTACTGGAATTGCGTAAAGGCGGGCTCAAGGCGAGCCTCATATTGTGCAATTTTAAACCATGGGAGTGATTCCTACTAAAACATTCAATTATTCAAACAGATTTATCAGCAAAAGAAATAACGGTCAATTTTGCCCAATGAAACCTCCAACGGATAATGCTATCATAAAAAGAAGTAATCCTCATAGTCATATTATCCAACAGTCTTACATTAATGTATGCTCGTCAATCAAATCAATTAGGACATTGCATTTCATTAAAGTAGGCGTTATACTAGATACTCCTACCAAATTAGTAAAAAAGTGATTTATTTAGGTTTGTGTGTGCTCCAATACTTGAGGGGCGGTGCATCGTGCTACAACAAATAATTAAGTGGGTTCCACCACCTCACTTTAGTCGACTACTATAATGCACCGACACTTCTTCTCAAAGAGGTATGCAATGTCCGACACATATTGGACACGACACAGCTCCAACACGTGTCGGACACACCAAAGATGTGTTGGATTAAAAAATATTAAAAATAAATTAGACATGCGTGTCTGACACATGTCTTAATATTTTATTTTAAAAAAATTATTGTGCTTCAAATTTTATTTATTAAAAAAATAAAATAAAATTTCATATTTTCTCTTCAAAGCCCCAAATCAATCTCTCATGCTCAATATCTCATTCCCCAAACATTCTCATTTTCATTTCTCTCTAGCAGGTTACGACTAAGGCTTTACAACAACGCATGATGTCGTATGTCCAACACCGTCACAACAGCGATTTTTTAAAATAATCTCAACATTTGAAGGCTGGTGTTGTCTTGGCATTGGCGCATGACGTCAGCAATTTCTACACCCACAATCATGCCCCTGCGTCATCCCGACATTTCATCTTTGTCCAACATCATCTCAACATCGACAACCGACGTCATCTTGACTTTGAGGATCGATATTGTCTTAACATCGATGCTCGATGCCCATTACACAAAGTCGAAGCCCGACTCTAGACAATATTGTCATTTTCCCTCTCGATGCCTGACATGACATCCACATCTGACTATCAATATCCTTATATTAATTATTTTAAGCACATATCCTAGTTAAATAACTTGTTATTTCTCAATTATTCTTAATATTCTGCTTATTCAATTTCTATAAACTATTTTTAAGATATAAAAAAATTATTATAACATGTCCAACCCATGCCTTATCCTATATTTTCAATAATTGATATGTCCAGTGTTTATGTCGTGTCGTGTACGTATTTGTGAATCATAGCTCAACTAAAATAGTGTTCCATGTTTGAACAGAGTTCAAGCCTTTTTTTTTCTTTTTTTTTCGTTTTTGTGGTGCAAATAGCAACATTTCCTGATACAGGTAAAAAACACAACTCAATCAAGTTATGAAATTGGAACGTTAAACCCATTTATAAAAAGAAAAAAAAAATACCAGGCTTATTCCCGGTTGGCATTGATATTGAATGAAAAAGGTAAACAAACCTGCAATTCTATCAGGGATGTGGCGAACAGCAGCCAAAGCATGCATTCCTCCGCCAGAGTAACCCAGCACCCAGAACTTATCCATAATCCCAAGAGCATTTGCTAACTGCAACATATCATGTGCTGATGAATTAAGGTTCCTGCAGGGATGAGGATCACTTTCACCAAAACCCGGAAGATCATATGTGATAAAACGAACACCAAAATCTTTCAACAAAGATTCTTTGATGCCAGGTATACCTGTAAAAGTAGGCAGTCTGTAAGGAAACTCAACTTGAAAGAGAAATAACAATTCTGCCAGCTAAGATTACAGTATTCTTAAATAACAATTCTGACCTGCTAAGCGAGAGGAAAGAAAAGAATGTGGAGAAATCATGGTAAATCTAGCCCTTTCAACTGACACCCCTTGTTCCTGGTAGGCCATAACTCTTCCATCCGGAAGTTGGATTAGGCTAGCACTAGGAGGATGTATATACAGTTTCTTTGGAAGTTGCACTTGAACTATATGGCCACTATTTACATTCAAAGCTGCAAATGAGTTCCGTTATTAAAGAATGTGATCCAATATACCAAAATTTAAATTTGATAAATTACAATAAAAAAATAACGGTCTAGTAGAAAGTCCTCAACAAGTTAAGACTGAAGAGGATAGCATTACTATGCACATTAACTAGGCTCCAAGAAAATTTACATTACGTTTCAGCTAAAACTGATAGTGGAAGTAACAACTAAGCGATTTCTAAGTTTATCATAAGGAAACGTAAAATGTAAAAAAATAAATAAACTAAACTTAAAATTGACTCAAATTAACGAAACAGGAGGAATGCAACCTAATATGAACGGAGATGGCATGCTCGATCAATCGAGCTAAAAGATAAGATTAATGAACATTACAGGCACTAAGCATGCAACTTTGACTGCACTTAAGTTGTTTGAAGCTTTTCTGTAATGTTCCAAGTAGCGTAATGAAGAGCTGGCCTTGCCAATAACAAGTGAATGTTTTAATGATTATCACTGATGCAAAAGGCAGCCTTTGGACTGTTCTTCCTATTATCCTTATTCAAAACAGATGCATGCCTAAATGTTCAGTAAAATGAGCTCATTATGTCATGATACATTGTCATTGTTGTGACTGACCAGATCAAGTTGTACCGACTTATGGCTAATCAAACCAAACCATCCTCTTTAGGTAAGAATTTATATAACTCCTATACATAGCTGAATTGAAATAATACAAATTTATTGAATGCTTTTGGTGGGTTCCAACCATTTAGACAAACAACAAGACATTAATTAAGAAAATTTTGCAAAATCAAACTAATAGTTTACAACAATAACAATTGGATGCGTTTTCTCATCCATTCTACATTCTGATATGATAGAGCCAGAACTATCAATACAGAAACATGGACTTTTTTTTTCTTTTTTCTTAAGGAATTGAACACCCTGACATCTCCTTTCGAGGTAGGGTGCAAACGCCACATTACTGGCATACATCCCCTCTAATGCAATAACACGCTCACCATACCTGTAATAAGTTGGCCACAAATACAGGTACTAATTATTGAATACAGCTCTGCCTGTGATGAAAGAAAAACCTTATTTGTAAGACATATAAGATTTCGGTTGAAACTAAGTACAGAGAGAGAGAGAGAGAGAGAGAGAGAGAGAGAGAGAGGATGACTTATGTCTTCAGTTAAAGCTGACAAAAGCAAGGAGTAGGCGACTTGTGTCCATCCTATAAGGAAATTTAAGACAAGTTACAAAGATGTGGAAATTATCAATTGGCTAGAGGGCGAGCTATAGTTAACACCTGTTGCCCAAAAATAAGCTTCACTTGGCAGAGTTTGATCTTGAAACCACTATTTTTCAAACAACTTCCATAGTAATTTAGAGAGATGCCTACTAAGGGCATATACGTGGCAGAGTGTCCTCTTTTTTCCTAACTCGTGAACATAAAGGGCAAGTTGGAACAACTTGAAAAAGAGAATCAAGGCCTGAAGCAATCGCTTATAGGTGAGCCAGTAGCTAAAAGTTACATTGATGACTTTAACAAAAAAGTTGTCAAAGATATGGATGCGTATAAGAAAGAGATGAATAAATAGATCGTAGAGTCAACAATCTGAAGATCGTCAAGTTATAGAGCAAGATCAATGCCTTAGAGCCTTCTTGGTCTGAGTCAAAGTCCCAAGAAAAGAACTAACCCAGTCTATATGCTCAACAAAATTGCGAAATGCCGAGCTTGAGAATTTGCTGAAGACGTTGAATCTAAACCCAATACCTATCAACTAGTAGAGTTTATCGAGTTCATAAATATTTCCTAATATATAGATGAAGTGGCATATAAATTCCAATACGGCATCATTTTTTTAGACGACTTGATGGATAAAATTGTGATAAACTATGCATGGTGTAATTTCAGTTTCTTTTACAAGAGCAATAAGAAGTATTTAACAGGAACAGGTGAGAAGAAACTCGACAATGAGGATAGAGAACAATTGTCTTCTGATGATGCAGATAGTGTACATTTGCCCAAACATGATATTTGAGTTGTATTTTTCATTTGACATTTTGATAGCAGATGTTTTGTAGAATATTTTGGATTTTGTAATTGATCTCTTGAGAGTGAAACGAAACAATATTTTGTTCATCAAATGGATCAGACTTGTCATACTCTTGATGTCGAACTCCTTAGCATTGAATTATCATGCAAAAAATGAACAAATTCCTAAATAAACATAAGCTTTTTTATTAAGACGAGCGATCAAGACATGTTGCATTTTCCTCCTATGTCAGTGGATTAGATCGCCGCCTTGAATTGGCCTAACATTTCCTCATAACTCAATATTCGCAGGGGTAACCATTTAAACTCTCCCGACTAAAATGGACTAGTCGCAAAAGGGTAGTCAAATTCTAGGGTTAGACATTTTATCCTTCAACATCTTATAGAGTTAGGCCAATAGCTTGAACTTTTAATAAATAATATATAATCGAATTCTTGAAACGTGTAGGAATAACCACTGTAATTCCATGTGTAATAGAATATTGAATAGAGAGTTCTCACATAAAAAAGGAGATTCTAATGTTGAGTAACTCTTTCGCTAGCGAGTTCTCTGAGTTCATTAAAAATGACCGACAAAATTTCATAAATAGCAAATGCAGAATTACCGAATTTCACCTATCAAGTTCTCAGGCACATATTGACAATGATATTCATTGCATGCCAAATATTAAATTATTCGAAAAATTGATGAGTGATAGATTCCAAGAGATCAATTTTTTCAATGTTAAACTACAAATTTTTATGATGAATTTTTACATACATAACACCTAAAACTATTATAATTACATATCTAATATCTAAACTTATCTATTTACTTACTACCACCTAAATCATATTTCACTCCTCTAAAATGCCACTCCCGTTAACTTCTGTCAAAACCCCACCCCTACACCTTCACTCAACACCCTGCCTTTCACCTCGCCTCTTCTTGGCTCGAGACCTGCCTTGTGCTCCAAACCTACTTTTAGTCACCTAGATTTGCTTTTCGTCTCCTCCATTTCTTCGTTGTTGTCACATTGTTTTATTTTCGTCTCTCCATTTGACCTTCGCATTGTTTGCTTTTTGTCTTCTCCATTTCTTCATTGTTGTGAATGTGGTTGTCGCGTGAAGTGGTCCGGAAAGAGTCGCATTGAGCTTCTCCACCTCCTATGACGTTGTTGTTGAAGTCATGACCGTCCAGGTGAGAAAGAAAGGCAAAGATATATAGATGATATAAATCTCTTCATGAATACTCAACATTTCTTTCTAACAACAAATTTTATGATTTATAAATACATATGTAGTCTTGCGATGCTTCTTTGCTTCTTAACTCAACTAGAAAGACTCTCTCCGAGAACGAGACATACAAAAGCTTCGGCATGAGGAACTTCAGGTACTTGGAAGAAATCAAGGATGCGGTGGAGAGGGAGTGACCTGGAGTTGTCTTCTGCGCTGATATCTTAATTCTTTTGGCTAGAGATAGGATTTATGTGGAATTTCTTTTTTTATTTTTCTCTCTTAGCTAATCAATTATCTTCTATTGTTGATTAATTTGTTTTGGATTGACCGATGAAAAGGCTGGAGGACCAACCATTGCTTTGAAGATAGGAAGGAGGGATGGGAGGAAAAGTAGGGCAGAGGTGGTGGAGAAGTTTCTTCCTGATCACATTGAGAGTATCTCTTCTATTTTAGTAAGTTTGGAGCCATGGGAATTGACACCACTGGCATTGTTGCTCTTCTTGGTAACTCTTTCCTTTCTTTCTTTTTTTAATATTTTAGCCAACAGGTTTTTTTTTTTTTTAAAGAGGCGAGGCAAAAGAAAGGGCGGTGTGGAGCGAAGGTGTCGGGGTAGAGTTTTGACAAAAGTTGATGGGAGTGGTATTTTAGAGGAGTGGAATATGATTTAGGTGGTAGATAAGTTTAGGTGTTAGATATGTAATTATAATAGTTTTAGGTATTATGTATCTAAAAATCCCTTTTTTTATAAATTTTCAATATTTGAATATGATAAAGAACCTGCAATAGATGAAAATCAAAGCCTTCGGTGCCCTATTATATAACTTTGCTTGAATTATAAAAATTCAACAAGAACATTTCTTGGAATATACATATTTTTGTACCGAGTAAGCCGTCGGAAGCCTTTAGTGTCGCAACCATGATTCAAGCTAAGTTGGCATGAAAGATCTGTAAGGGTATACAAGAAAGAGCATTAGCAAGTTATTATGTTAAGCTCATTGTTTAGGGTGAGGGTGACGACATCGATATTGCTGGAAAGTTCGATGGCGAGCTCCTCTCTTGGCTAATTCGATATCATGAAAAGACTAGAAATTTAGCCGAGTTCAAATATTTGGTGCCTCCATGTTTAATCCTCAAGAACAAAGTTTTTAAGTATGAGGACTATGGGATCAACTTAAAAAAAGTCTAAGTGAATTTGAACTTCTTAAATTTATCAAATACATCCTTTTTCATTATAATGAAACTTAAGCTTAAGATTAAGTATCTGACCTCATTAAGTATAGATTATCCGTCTACTTGGGGCATTGGCTCTCTACAATGAGTAGAATGGTGTATTTTAGGATTGACCTTATATCAATATCACTCTGATTCCGAACATAAATTAGTTTTCGTTTTACTTAATTAGCTGAGTGCTTGTTGAGGAAATATTTTTTTCAATATAAATCTCCACCATCAATGCGTCAACTTTGCAACTTGAAGTTGGTTGACTTCAATTTAAAGTTTATTCATGAATTTATAAATCCAACTTATTTAAAATTTTTCACTTCTTCCTTTCTTTAAGATATGTATGTACATATATGCTTTTAACAAAGAGAAAAAGCTTTCTAAAAGAGATGAAAGAGTTCACCGAATTCTCAAATTTGATGTGATCAAACATTGTTAGATAATGAATACCAAGTTTCCTAAGAATTTGCCAAATTCTATGGATGTGTTCCCTAAGTACTTGTTAGATTCTTCGTGACTAGTTGTCTATTAGTGATGAGATATTGATTCTTCCTTTTTGTAGATCTTTTTATATTTTAACACTTTATTTCTTATAATGCTTGGTTTTTGTTTCTTAGCATCAATGCACAATCACCATACCTTTCAAAATGTTGAAACCAGATCTGTATATGATTATACCAAAACCTTACTTGCAGGACTTATAAGACTCCAATATAATACTAAGTAGATAAAATAGACAAAAGATAAAATAGAGTGAAGCTCTAAAGATTTCACTACAACAACATCAAGCATTTATCCCCCTACGTGTGGTGATTAGGGTAAGCTGCACGAATCATTTTTCTCCATTGTCTTGTTCAGAGTCAAATTCTCAAGCTCTAAGGATTTCACCACTAGCATAAAATACCCATATATCACTATCCCTAAAAACAGTCATTTGATCCCGTATTTATAGTGTTTCAGACACTAAGAGATGTTACACATTAACCTTATAATAAACAAAATATAAAAATACATTATAGGACTACCACAAACATGTGGATAAACACATGGATAGAGCACTAATGGGTGCACATGGAAATATCGATCAAGGTACCAATTGCATAAATGAACAACCCTTCTAGGCAAGTGGTATGCAGGAGTAGTCACCGACTAAGTATACAAGGTCACGAGTCTCTAGAGAGGAATGCATTGATGAAATCACTGGCTCGAGATAGGAGTAGGCGAGTCTCTCTTGGTTAAGTGTCAGGCAAGTGATCCTCCATGTTGGGTGAAAGCCCTCAGATAGGGCCAAGTGCCCCATAGGCTGGGTGAATACTCTTGGCAAGTTCAAGTATACTCTTAGCTGATGCGACTTTACCCCTTATCAGTTCTTCATAAAATGGCAAATTCTTGTTAGTTTTGGCGAGTTCGTGATGGTCATGGCAACTTGACTGAGTGGTCATCTGCCAGTTGCTTAAGTCCCACCCTACATATGTATAGAGGCGATATTACTCTCCAATCAGTAAATGAAGGTTGTACTTGTCTTCATTCCTCATCTAGTGCAATTTATTATCGTCAAGCTGCTCTTGCAAAAGATAGATAGACTATAATAAGGACAAAAATAGGCGGATAAGGAAAATTATATTCAATCCAAAAGGCCTTGACATTTTTCTAATCACTAGTTAGTTCTCTTATTATAACCCTATGATGCACAGCCACGGACACGGCGACACGGATACGACACGACATGGTCACAGAACACGTCAAATATAGGGCACAGATACGGACACGAGTTGGACGCTATATTCTAATTTTTATATTTTAAAATAGTGTATAAAAATTGAATAAGTTTAATATTAAAAATAATAAGTCATTTAAATATAGTTTATGCTTAAAATGATTAATATTAAGATATCAAGAACCAGGAGTCAATGTCATGTACAACAATGCTATCAAGAGTCAAGCATTGATGTTATGCAGTAAGTATCGGACATCGATATTGAGAGAGCATGTGTCGTCGATGTTGAGAGGGCGTTGGTTGTCGATAATAGAAGCGGAACCCCCAAATGTTCAAGGGGACAATTGCCCCACCTAAAAAAATTTTATTATATGACTTTTTAGGTAGTATATAGGAGTCTTTAGGCAATTGCCTCCCCCCCCACCCCCTGAAAATTAAGGCCAGTTCCGTCCCTGGTCGATAATAAGATGACATTAGATAAAGATGAATTGTCAAGTTGTGGGAGTAGAAATTACTAGCATCGAGCATCAATGTCAAGATAGTGTCAGATTTTGATGCTGAGATGGTTTTGAAATGTTGATGTTGTAATAATGTTAGACTTCAATGTTGATATAACATTGGGCATTGTTGTGAAATCAAAGTCGCGACCCGCCAAAGAGAAATTGAAAATGAGAATATTCGATGAGTTTGAGTGCAGGTGATTGATTTAGTGTTGTGGATATAAAATATGAAATTTAGTTTTTATATTTTAAATAAATAAAGATTGAGCACAATCCACGCAATCACTTGTAAATAGTAAAAATATATTTTTTTACCTAAAACCACTCTAGCTAAAAGAAAATAAAAGGTGGTATTCAAAACATTACAAAGCAACCCAAGATGAACATTACAAGGTGAGGTCAGCATAAGCAACCCAGCCTGGGCAGGGTAAAAATATCACAATTGGCAACAATCACGGCAGCAGGGATCTAAAAACGATAGAGCTGATATTTCAAATAGATAGTGCTGGCAACAAAACAATATGAGAAAATTGATGTTAACCCAGTGCATGAGGCTCCTGAAAAAGCAAAGTACGAGGAGGATCGATGAATGCAAACATACCCATGCGTTGCATGGAACTTGTTTCCGTGATTTGAAATCATAATGAAGCCTATATTTCAAATAGAAAGAAAAGGCAAAAAATAGGGATGCCTTGCAATGCAAAGTTTAGAGACAGATTGATGAAACCATGCATTGCGAGGAGGTTATTTCCATAATTTGAATCCATGAAAGTTCAAGATAAGATGTAAGTAACTTAACCATTGCTCCATTGCCCTCTACATATGCAAAAGGCGATGCATCCCATGGTGAAATGGCATAGGCCTTGCCTTCGAGCTAACCATGAAGCTGATAAAAATATACAAAGTTCTCTTATGATTACAAATCCAACTCTCTATAGATAACAGAAGGGGACGGGAAATTAAATCAAAATCCGTGTTCACACCATCTTCACGTACTCATAAAGCATAATAGATATCTCTTACGAGCATGCACCATAAAGTCAAGTCAACATCAGAGAGGCCCAATCTTTTAGTAATCCATCAAAAATCTTAAAATATAAAATAAAAATATCGAACCCAATTAAATCCAAAAGTTGATGAAGAATTATGCGAAAAAAACCTAAATTTTATGCTAAACCAAAGCGCCCAACTTCAAATTTTCAAATCAAACAATCCATTACAAAAGATTCCTATCAAGCCACCAATATACTTACCACAGTTCCCATTTCAAAACAAGCCGAACAAAAATAACATCAACAAAACAAGCATAAAGTAATAGTACACAAAGCACCAATACTATAGCAATAGGAACTGAAAGAAGCTCCACACTTTGTCATACCTAGAAGCGCTACAAGAAAAACGCAGATGATCACCAACCAGGAGTGCATCGGATCCCGATCCTCGGGCAAGTAATCATTCAAAAACCCAAACCGCCTCGAGACTACACCCCACGGCCCGCGGAGCCTCTTCGCCACGTAAGAGTCCTCCACCCCCGTCAGGCTCTGCTGCAGTATATCTCTGCATCCCCTCCCGAAATCTTGCATCATCTCCACCGATGCTTTCAAAAACCCCTTCAACTGGTCCTTCATGCTCTCCTCCGGCACAATGCCATCCTCATGTCTGTAGTAACCCTCACCGACCACACTCCCATTGAGATCCGACGCATTTCCCTCCACCTCGCCGCCGATGGCAGAATACTGAACCCCGCTTTCCCCCACCAAACTAGCCAACTCCTCCTGCCACGTCATTGATCCTTCTCCCACAAATGACATCGATTTACCGAAGAAGAAAATGTCGAAAAGGAGCAACGTGGTTTTAAGGACACATGAACGTCTCCTACTCGCGTGAATCGCAAGCTAGATTTCCTTTTCCCAACCTCCGTCCCCGTCACGGTAACCCTAGCATCATCGGCGCCGTATAGAACGGACGGTCATGATTTCCTAAGGAGAGGAAAAAAGGGAAGATAAAAAGAATCGCAACAGCATCTCGAAGCTTCGCTTTATCTTCTTCAAGCTCTGAAACCCTTCCAATTGGCAGAATTCTTTTCTTTTTCTCCGATTCCGACTCACAATAAAATACCTGGGAGCTGAAGCCACGCAGCCGCAGCAGTTCGGAGGCTGATACAGAAAGTCTGGATCAGTCCACGTTGATGGTGGCGGTCGCCGTGTGGAAATAATTGAACGACCGGGTAGCCGTAACGCTCCGGTCCATGGACACTCGACACTACCAACGATCGCCGTGAACGTGGAAAAGATCCGCTGCTACAGTTAACGGACGAAAGGCCATTCGACTAAACAATCGCGACGGATCCAATGTCCATATTTTTCCACATGTCATTTTTACAGTGGCCGAGCAGGATTTAGTAGGCCCGCCAAGATAGTGGCAGTCGGGAACTTTTATTTGGTTGAAAGGACGTAGAGCTACGTTCGGCCGGCACTAAATCATGCCACGTAGTAGACACAAAATTATGTATTTGTTGGTTTTGTTCGGCAATAACGAGAAATATCATTATGTGAAGATAAATACCGAGCAATACCGAGCAATACCGAGCAATACCGAGTTTTTTCTAGAAAAACTCGGTATTGCTCGGTATTACTCGGTATTGGTCTTCACAGAGCGGTATTTCTCGTTATTGTCAATCAATATCTAACAATACCGAGCAAATACAGAGCAAATACCGGGTAACTCAGTGGTGACCGCACGTAGAGCTACGTTCGATCACCGGACTTAATAATTGTTCGGCATTCCGCAGTATTAGAAAGAAGGGAAAAATTTTATATATATATAAATTGTATTAAAATGAAGTTAAATATTATAGAAATTATTTTAAAATTAATATTATATATATAATCAATATTACATTAATTTTAAGATAAATTTAATAATTTTTAAATTAATATTGACGTAATTTGTATTAGAATATCTTGAAATAATTTTTATGTAAAATATTTTTTAATTTAGGATATAAGTTGTGAAAAATTAATAGGACTTAAAAAATATTTCACAAGACTCTTATTTTTTATCTGTATAATATTTAATATTTTTTAATTTATTTATGTTGTGGGCTAGTATATTAATGATGGTAGAGTTAGAAAATTTTTCATCCTAGCAATACACAGATATCCAGTACACAAATATATAGTTAGAGAGAGAGCGAGAAATACTATACATTTTTTTACGTGGAAAACATAGAAAGGGAAAACCAACTGTGTAAAACCCGTTGATATTATCTACCTCATGACCTATTTTAGATATTTTGATGATAACAAACATATGCTTGGATGTTCTAATTTGTGTGCTAAGTATTTCAGGTGTAATAATGTGCATAGTAATTATTTATGAAATTTGCATTGCACAACTCAAGTTCAATCAAATGTTGAGATTAAGATGGACCAAGATGGATAACTTAAGTACTTTATATTATCGTAGGAGTATGTTAGTGGTCTATTAATATTTACTTGCATGATTTAATCTGCTCACAATCTAAATATCTATTAATTATATATTAATATTGATATAGAAATTTATAAGATTTCTTCATTAAATAAATTATTTAACCTTCATTAATTGCATAATTATTATCAAATGTAGAAAGTTATATAATTAGGGAATTAAAGGTAATAAGCTTATATGGTAAAATTTTTATTATTTAAATTTACTTGTTTCTTATCAATTTAATAATATATGATTAATTATATATTGCATTAGATTTTTTGGATTCTGTAGATAGAAATTGATAGGTTATATAAATCATTTAGATTTCATTTGAATTTATAATGAATTTCCAAACATTATCTAATTTAAATATAATCTGCTGATGGCCATTTTTGTCCTATTTATGATGCATATAAAGACTTTTTTGACTTTCCCATATGGCTAGCCATTTGAATCTCATATATATTTAATATAAATGAATTTTTGATCAAATATAATATTATTAGTTGATAAATTAATATTAATTTAATAGTTTTATTCAAATTTAGTTTTACTTACTCTTTTCCTTTAAATACCTCTTTTCTTCTTCATATAAGGGCTGCTCAAAATGAAAAAAACTCTAATAATTCTTCCATTCTTTCTTTCTTCTTTACATGCTAAATATTGAGAGGAAAATTTTTTATTTTTATTTCAAGTGCTCTTTTCATTTGCGAGATTGAAATATTGGTTGGAAAGCTTCAACACACAATTAAAATCGAATAATATCTATTGGAGTTCTTGAGTTTGCTTTCCTTCACTAAATCTTTACTTCCTATTCTTTAGCTTTCACCATATATTTTATTCTTAAAAATATTTATTATTTGGTAAAATATTATTGGTTAATGTTATATTAAGGTTTTATATATTATATCTTTTAAATCCATAAAGTTTAGCAAAGCAAGTATTTTTTATTTTTTTTAAGGTAGCATAGATTTACATTTATAATCTAATTCATTTTATTTATTTTTAAGAGTTAAAGTTTAACTAAGCAAGAATATATCTTTATTTAAAATATTATTCTTATTTTAAACAAAATATAAATCTATCTTAAAGTGAGCAATTTTAATTTTTCATTTGCAAGTAGTGAGGTGATTAAAATTAATTTGTAAGATCACCTCAAATATTATGGACATTTTATTGCAATATAATTTGAGCTTATATTATTTACATCAAATTGTATTTTTCATCTTCTTGATCTAAGCTATTTGGCTTAATTAAGTTTTAATTATAATTAGATTGGTCTGTACTCGCCCGTATAGGAGAATACTTAGGTTGTAAAGAATTTCTTTGATTTAAAGAAGTGAGGTTTACAAAGCATTCACAAACTTAGGATTAGTGAATTCTAGCCCAAGAGTTGCTAGCATGGACGTATGTCGAATTGGAATTCGGGCCAAACCAAAAAATATTATGCTTCTTATTTTTATTTTTTGCATCTTTTTTGTCTTTTTCATAAAAATTGTGTGATTTTTTATTCTTTTTGACATAACTTAAAAATCATTTTAATTTTCTTCGTTTACTAAAACTTTTAAAAACCCCAATTCACCCCCCCCCCCCACCTCTTGGGGTACCATAGTCTTCCAATAAAACTCTTTAAGTTAAAAAGAAGTTAAACTCTTAAACATTGATGCTCTTTTTTATGTAATTGTTAAAATTTCATTAACAAGCTCCACAATTAAGCATGCTCATCTCGAAAAAAATCTTAAGCTGGGTCACCTCTGTTAACGTTAAACCAATAAAATAAAATCATAATGCCCTTAGGCCAAAGTGATAATATATCGATAGTTAAGATTTTAAATTGTTACAAGTGGTATTAGAGCAATACATTAGTTGGAAGATGGAGCTAAGTGTCATATATGACAAAATGCTATATTGTGGGAGTCATCACTTGAACTTGTAAGTGCTACCTTAAGAATTATATCTGTCTAATGGATGATTTTGGGATAAAAATATTGATGAGGACATTAGTTACTTAAATTGGGGGAGATTATAAAATTCCTTAAGTAAAAAAGAAGCTAAACTCTTAAACAGTGAGTCATCTTTTAATGTAATGATTGAAATTTCATTAAGAAACTCCACAGTTAAGCATGCTCATCCTAGAAAAATCTTAGGATAGATAACTTTATGGGAAGTTACATTAATAGGACAAAACTGTAAGGCTCCTAGGCCAAAGTGAATAATATCTTGATAGCTAAGAAATTGTGATGTTATATATGGGGCCTAGCCCAAATGAGAAGATTTCACTAAACTTGAGTGATTTATAAAGCTTAACTCACCCCTTAACTTGGAGAAGATGAAATTACAATAATTTGGACAGTTGGTCAAACTTCATATAAGTACTTAGGAGCTTATAATGATCATGGTTAGATGACAGAAGTCACGAGTCCGGTAATAATGGCTTGGAGATGATCCAGTAGGTGTTGGCGGCAGGGCGAAGATATGATGGTAACCAAGTAGAGGTCTGGTGATTATCGATGGCCAGGTGTAGGTCTGGCGATGGTTGGATGGAGCTCTAGTGGTGGTAGGTGACTAGATGGAGGTCAAACAATGATCAGTTGACAAGCAGAGGTTCGACAATTATCCGTAGTTGAGAGGAGGTCCAGTAGAGGTTGACAACCGAGCAGAGGTCCGATGATAGTCAGCGGTTAAACAGAGGTCCAACGATGGTCAACAGTTTGGCAAAGGTCTTGTGGCAGTCAATGATTCTATGATATTCAGTGACCCATAGGAGATTGGCAGATAGGTGGTCGGTGGTTGGTGGTTAGGTGGAGTTATAACAATGATTATCAGATGGGGGGTTATTCCAATGATGGATGATAATTGGGAAAAGATCAAGTGGTTATCGGTGAATAGGTGGTGGTTCGGCAATGGTCCATGAATAAGAAGAAGTCCAATGGCGGGGCGGTGGTCTGGCTTTAGTTGGGGTGGAGTGATGGTCAAAGGAATTTCACTTTGCGATGGTGCATGGGTAAAACTTAAGGATCCTTAAAGCTTCAGAGCTCTCTTCAATCTCTAACAAAGGGTCCCCTCTCATGTAGAAAGTGGGAGTCTTTTTAAAGATTTTTTTTGTGCCACGCTCTATAAATATAAAAAAGATCTAAGGCAAGTTCGGAGTGCTCCATTGGACTGCTAATATTGATTCCCTTTATTATAGAGTGTTTTTAAGCATTTAAAGTACCTTAATGATGTTAGAATTAAGAGATCTTGTGCTTGTTAGATTTTACTTATCAAGCCGCTCAATTCGATTATAAGCTTGCCATATTTAGAATTCATTTGGTCATCTAATTAATGTTTTGAGCCTTCCAAATATGCTTCATATCCCTTGATTTGGAGCCATTTGTGCTCGAATGAATCAATTTTGGGGTTTTTGTTTGTCTCTTTAAGATGCTCAATTTGACTATAAGTTTATTAAAATCCGAGTTTGGGTGGTCCCAGATTTAATTTTGTAAGTTGTTAACTTAGATATGCCTCGAGATTCATGCCTGATCAAGGCAATTTTTAGTGACGTATCAATTTAAATACCATCTTAATATCTAAATTACATTAAAATACACATAGGAAATAAAGTATTTCCTTTTAGATTAATGAATATTAATAATTTTTTATATGATTTAAAAATTGGAATGTTATATAAGTGTAAGGATTTAGGTGTTACAGATGTAAATACATAATAATTTTATGGTATGCATATAAATCCACAAAAAAAAATTGATGTAAGATGCATTAATACAGACATGGACATATGGACATGATGAAACATGGACACAAGA